GTAGGAGAGGAGAGCAGGCGTTTACAAGGACTAGAGGGTGAGACATACAGATGGGGTGGATAGTTGTAACTAACATGGCTGCATAACAAATTATCACCAACTTAGGCACTTAAAAAAACACAAACAGACCATCTCATGGTTCCTGTGGGTCTGAGGTCTCGGCACAGCTCAGCTGGGTCCTGTTCAGGGTCGTGTGGTAGAACCAAGCTGTTGGCCCATCTCATCTGAGGCTTTGGGACCTCTTTCAGACTAACTAGTTGTGAGCAGGATTCAGTTCCTTGCAGTTGCAGAGGTGGGGTCCCCATTTTGTCACTGCCCACCCTCAGGTTCTAGCTGTGTGGCCCCTCCATGGGCAGTTCATAGGAAAGACAGCAGGAGAAATCTCTCCGACATCTTTTAGGTCTGACCCACCCAGGAGAATCTTCCATTTGATTAACTCAAAGTCAACTGATTTGGGACCTTAGTTACTCTGTAAAATTCTTGGTTAATACAGTGTAACGTGATCCCAGGAGTGATTCACACTCAGGGGAGGGTATGAAGGGTATATACTCCAGAGGTAGATCATTATGAAGAAATAAATACCATGTTCTATCTACAAAAGGGGGGATGTGGCTGCATTAATCGAGGCACAAAGGGATTTCGCACCCTGGGAGGCTGGACACATGACCATGGGGAGCAAGAAAGGAGAATGTGCGAGTTTTTGGAGCCAATGTAGACAGGAAAACCAGGGGTACCAATTCTGCCTTTTCTTTTTCTTTCTTTTTTTTTTTTTTTTTTTAAGGTTAAAGCATCTGTACCAGGAAATGTGCAGATCTAACATGTACAATCCTAAGGATTTTGAGAAATGCGCCCATGTAATCCACACACCATCAAGATAGACAGCGCTCCCTCTGTCTAAAAAGTCCCCTGTGCCTTGCAGGCCAGTCCTCACACACAGAGGCAATCGCTGCCTGAGTTTTAGTGCCAGTGATGAGTTTTGCCTGACCTCGAGCATCCTGTGAATGGCTATGCCTGACTTCTTTCACTCAGCGCAACATGTGTGAAACTTACCCATGTTCATTTGCTCCCTTTTTGGTTTTTTTGAGTAGTGTTCATGGCATAGGTGAACCACAGTTTGCTTGTGCATTCTCCTGATGATGGACAGTTGGCTTGCTTCTAGCTTTTGACTCTTATAAGTAAGGTTGTACATTCTCCTACTGGTGTAGAGGTGATGTTTTCATCGCTCTTGGCCGATACTCAGGAGTGGAGGGGTGAGTGGTGTGGTGAGCACATGTATGATTTTAGGAAACCACTGAGGAGATGCTAAGTGGCTGTGTCCTTTCATGCCGACATCAGCCACACGCGAGCCTCGTGTCCTCCCGACCTTTGGCACAGTCAGGCTAAGTTCAGCCATTCTGATGTGTTGTCAGAGTTCCACTGGTGTTCCCTGAGGAGGCCTTGAGACTCAACTCTAGAGGTGGGCTCTCAGTGTCCAGGGGACCCTAAGTGTCACTGTCTCGGCAGCTGGACAGGCCACACCCTTGGTATCACATGGCTGTCTGTCTCTTTAGAAAGTGGCTGCCAGACCAGCAGATGGGGACTCTGGGCTAGAGACATCCCCCTGGTGGGGCTGGGTCCGAGGGTCTTGGCCAGGGCAGCTCTCTGATTTGTGCTGCCCACGTGCTTCCAAAAATCTTAGATAGAAAAATATACCTTCCTGCATATCCTTAGCATAGAAAATGCATGATGAAGACCAAATATCAGTTGTAATAGCAAATGTAAATGTGTTTGATTTTTCTATAAACAGCAAGGACTGTCAGAATGGGTGGAAAGATGCCTTTACGGGCCATCTACAAAATGTGCACCTAAAACGATGCAGCTGGAGAGATCAAAAGCAAAGGACATGGAGAGACATCTGACAAATGTGAGTGAAGGAAGCAAGGGTTGCGGGCCTCACGCTGTCCAGGTGGAATTCACCGCCGAGACCCAGGACAGCGAGGCTGTTGGCACTGAGAAGGGAGAGCTGGTCATGGGTGGGCGGTGGTGGTCTGCTGGTGGGGAGCCTCCGGCTCCCCTCACACTTGGAGAGACGGACTATGGGGGTGTCGTGGGGCAAGGCTGGGACAATGGGACCCCCGAGCTGGTGGACAGAGTGTGGGGAGCTTCCTGGGTCAGCAGGTGGGGGCTGGCAGGGAGCCTCCCCGAGCACTCCCTCAGTTCTCCATTCCCTTTTCCTTCGAGGACCACTCTTCCCAGGAGGAGGAGGGAACAGCGCCCAGAGGCTCCTAAAGGGGAGAGTGGCAGGGCTGGGGAGAGGCCTGGGATTGGCCCCCGCAGTTCTGGGTCAGGACAAGTGGAGTGATGACGGAAGGCCGCCCTGGCGGCGTCCGGCACCTCCCCCAAGCCCGTGCCTTGTAGCTCCAACGGTGTGCAGGGGAAGCTCGGGGAGCCGGTGGTAGAGCTGCTGGGCACCGGCTGCTCCTGGCCCAGGAACGGGGATCACTGCCCCCCTTACAATCACGGGGTAGCTGGCTGTGCACTTATGTTTCAAGACTTCATGCCATGATCTAAAATATTGCTTTCGTAAACTTGGAACGGACACAGGCATGATGGAGCCTGCAGTTTCCTTCATAACCTATTTTTTAAATGTCAGGTTCCCTAATGTGAAGGGGGCTCCTTCTGTTTTCCTCGTGGACATCGGGAGGCGAGGGGTTAAGAAGTACAGCAGGGAACAAAGTGTGGCCTGATTTCAGACCTGGGTTCTCAGCCATCGGTTCCAGTTAGAGAGATGATTCAGGGATTACAGACGCGGTCCTTTCTTAAACACACACTTCAGCTCTCCCCCTTTCCCTCAGGAGAGGTCTCGGGATGACCCCTCCCAGGCAGGAGGAAAAGCCCACAGACCCCACCTGACCAGGGTGCAGACCTGGGGCGACCAGGAGGGAACTTGTGCCTGGAGGGTCGAGGGGAGGGTCTGGAGCTGGCACCTTCTTCACCGGGACCCCTGCTGTCCTCCCCAGCCAGCCCTCTGGCCTCCCCGTGATGGGCACCAGGTGGCCTCGGGCCTCTTTGCGGCCCTCCCAGGTGGCTGTTACGGTTTAATGAACCCATTTTGCAGTTCATGAGAGTGAGGTGAGGCGCAGGTGACCGGCTCGAGGTTACCAGGCTGCAGGTGGTGGGGAAGGAGCCAGGATCTGTGGCCGCTGCAGGGACATCCCTCAGGCTGGGGGCTCGCAGGGCGTGACGGGCGGGCGAACGTTGGGGTCACGCTGCAGCAAACAGGCCCCCGGGATGTCGGCCGAGTGAATGGAAACTTTCCGTGCTGGCAGCTGTCTGGTTCTCGTCACGTGCGTGTGTGATGTCAGTGCAGGGGCTGGGATTGGGTGTCTCTGAGACTCCCTTGCAGACTGTGCTGACACCCACCGATGCTATGTGGGGGTGCTGTTCTCTGCTGGAGTCGTGCCCTGGCCCCACTGCCCGGCTTTCCACGTGTGTCCGGTGAAGGGTGTCCCGTCCCCGCCCCTTCTTGTCAGGATCCCCCCCGGCTAGGACCCCGTGCGGTTCCCGCCACCCGCTTCTACTGGCTCTGGTGCCTGTGGTGCCCGCACACCTGCCCTCCTTTACCCCTGGGGCCGAAGCGCGCCGGCCCCACCCCCTCCCCTCGTCCACTGGCAGGCCCTGCAGCAGGGCGCCGAGCACTCGGGGACTCGGTGGCCGTGCGTTTCCTCCTCGGGAATCCGAGCCAGGCTGTGCTTCCCCGTCCACTCTGACCTTCCTGAGGCCAGGGCCGTTCCTGTGAAGGGACAGCCACGGCCCCCTGCCACCTCTCTCTGGACCCGGGCCGGGTCTCCCAGGCAGCTTTCCACGGGGCCCGCCGGTCCCGCTGCCTCCTCCTCAGGGACTCGCAGGCTGTTTCTGGTGCCAGAAGGCTGGCCTTTCTGGGGTTTCGTCTCGTTGGATCCGGCCAGCTCTCCCAGCCCTCTGAGACCTAACGCGCTTCTGCTTTTGTGGCGCAGGGTGTCAGGGCCCCTCCCGGCTCCTCCCCATCCGTGGACAGTCCTCCCCCAACCCCAGAGAGGGCTGTCCGTCCGGACCCCCGACCATCTCCACGGTCTCCTCCTGTTGTGGGAAGTGCGGGTCTGCTGGGATTTTTTTACTCCACAGAAAGATGACTGCGGACAGAGGAGTGAAAACTTTTATTTCAAAAAGCCTCTGATATGGACACAGTGAGAAAAAACACAGGAAGGAGTAAAAATAAAACTAACAAATAAACGGGATCTTGAATAAAATGTGGAACCAATCACTCTCTTGAGGAAAAAGAGCTTTGGGTTATTTTTTATTATTTTTTTTAAACACATCACTTTGTGTCACTGGATGGCCCAGGGGTCCAGGCCTCTGAGTAGATGGGGCAGGGGTCTACAGGGTAGCACCGTTGTTCTCGGGGTTTTCGGGTTGGGGAGTCACCGTTTTCTGCCGTTTTCTGGAGACACCAGTCAGCGTGTAAGCGTTCGCTTGCCCTGAGCTCTGTGGCCCGAGGCCTCAGGAGCCAAGGTCTGAGCCCTGAGGAAGGAGAACCTTATGTGGAGGAGTCTACTCGTCAGGGGTCATGTTTTAAAAATGCTCTCGACCTTGGCTTTCCAAAAACGAAGCGTCCATCGTCTCACACGAATTTACTAGCAGACTTTTGAGAGTGTACATGAAATGCTAACTAAAGAATTGTGCAGGATTAGTGAGAAAAGTCAGACTATGCGGGAGGTGCGGGAGGGGAGGCCGCACTCAAGCGACCCCCCCAGACAGGGAAGGGGGAAGCGCCTTCGGGGATTCAGAGCCTGCTGGGGGTGGGGGGATGCTAACACGGTGAGCGGGGTAGGCGCTGGCAGGGTCCCGGGACCCCAGGGGCGGGCAAAACACACGCGGCTTTTCAAGGCTTTCCTTTAGAAACATCCAGCTCATCAGGTTGGTCAGGAACATACACGTCACATCTTACTTCCCGTTTTCGCGGTGGGAGAGGGGCCCCGGCGCTAGCTCAGCGCCACCTTCCTGGACACCGTCTGGTAGAAGACGCCACGCATTAGGGCCTGGTAGCTGGGCACGCGGAACAGGTGGCGCTCGCCATAGGCCACGTCGTACTCGGCCGTCTTGCCCGTGACCAGGACGCGGATGTGCGGCTCGTTCACCTGGCGGCCCACCACCACCACGAAGATCTCGATGTCTGCCCGCTGGGCCTCCTGCACCGCCTTCTCGATGGCCGCCGCCGTGGCCCCCTGTGAGTTGCCGTCAGAGAAGAGCAGCAGCCTCTTCTTGGCTGGGACGGACGAGGCCTCGCGGTAGAAGCGCGTCACGTAGCCGAGGGCGTCGTTGACGTCAGTGGCGTCGTTGAAGAAGGTCATGCTGTCCACGGTGCCGGCCAGCACGGTGTAGTTCTGCAGAAACTGCAGCGACGCGCGCTCTGGCTGCTGCTGCCCGGGGCCGCTGTACTGCACCACCGACACCCGCACGTCGTGGGAGGGGTTCGTCTTGCCCGCCGTCAGGAAGCGCTCGGCCAGCCGCTTGGCGAAGCGCCTGGTGGTGTCGAAGTTGTGGCTGCCCACGCTGGCCGAGCCGTCCAGCAGGATGGTGATGTCGGCCGGGGAGGTGAAGGTGACTGCGGGGTGGGGGGTCGTGTTGGTGCGCGGCCGGGGCCTCCCGACTCGGCCGCCCTGGGCTCCCCCTATCTCTCGCCCTCCTCCGGGAGCCCCCGCCGGCACCCTGTCCACGCACCCCGGGTACTCACTTGGGCACGTGTAATCTGGGCACTTCTTGTCTGTAAGAGAGAAAAACGCCATGCGGTGTGAAGCCAGTGATCTCGCGGACCACCCTCCCGGCTGTAACCCCCCAGCAAAAATGGTGGCAAAGCTCTCGCATGGCAGGCGTGGAGTAGCCACGTGCACAGGTGGCACTCTTAGACGCCTGGCCAGCATCTACTCGGCCCACTCGGCCCCGCCGAGAAGGGGTGCCCCCCTGTTCGAGGGTGGGCCTTGAGGTCTTGGGCCGGGCCCCCTCCTGCTGTTCTGTGGCCCTCACACCAACCCAGTGAGGGGCGGGGGGGG